TACCAAGAAAGCATAACTGGTGTGATGCTGCATGCAGGCTTACCATGTGCTGCTTGTGATTAGCATAAGGAGCTGCGGAGAAATAAAAGGCAAGATGACTGGGCTGCTTTATGAAACCTTTCAGCTCAGTAACGCTGAAACGCTGTCAGGCAACCCCGTGCTCTGAAACCAGCACATGATTCTCAGAATCGCCATTCTGCCCGTTTCTTCCCTTATGGACATGGTTATAATAAACGGCAGCTAAGCACAGGCGTCTCCCTGGCATACCGTCAGGCAGCCTTGCTGGAGGAAATTTTTTTTCCCCCCTGCAAGCTGCCAAGGTGGACTCCTTAGCTGCTGCTATAGACTGAATGAGACTGCAGTTCCCCCATCAGTTTCATAATACTCAGAAAGCATCCATTTACATCATTGTGTGCAGTGCAGGGCAGAAGCTGCCAGGAAATTTGAAACTATTTTGATTCCCGTTGACTAGAACAGCAGCAATTGAATTAGCTGATACCGCTGTAGATAAACTGATGATCTGTGCATTTCATTTCTTTGACCAATGGGTAACTGCTGGAGCTACAGTAACCTCTGTGAGTAAGGAGACTGTTCAAGCAAATATATCTATTTTCTCGAGCTGGCTTTATATATATATATATATATATATATATATATATATATATACTGTATAGAGAGAGACACTCACACCATTCTTTTGTAAAATGTACCTGTAAACAAAATGTCTGCCTATGCTTATAACTTGTGTTTTGCTTCCTAGAATTTCCTTTTATTATGCTGTAGACAAGCTTGCTTGACATGGAATGGTTATTTACCTATGAAATATATCTGTGCCTGATTTAAGTCTTGAATTCTTTCAACGTCTAGTCATCAGAAAGTCTGCCAACTGCTGTTAGGTTATATTTGCCCGGTCTCAGTTTTCTAGCCACTTACCCCCTTTCTATTTTACCTTTTTATCTTTTTTTTTTTTCCTTTGTTGAAAGAAGTCACCTTCAATGCAAAGTAGAAATTGGTGTTACCTGAGAGTGTGTGTCCTTTCTTTGTTTGTTTGGTGATGGATATTTTTTTTCCCTGCTCTTCTTCAGTGCGGTCCTTAAATTTTGTTGTTGCCTTTCTAGCCTTGTTTGTAATGCAGTCATATTGGGGGATGGGGTTGGACAGGATATACCAGTAGCTGCAGAAAGACATGATGCTGTGGTGGTGGATGGGAATAAGGGAGGAGTTTCCCTTAAAGAGCTCAAGCTCCTCTAGGCACTGGTACCTGAACTAGCTCTCTGAGCAAAGGGAAAGGCTTTGCACCTTTTAAGTAGGGGATAACTGGTGGTGGTTTACCACTAGGACTAGAGAGCTTGGCAGTGATGTGTATGGTGGTACCTAAATTAGTGGGGACACACTGCTGCTTTGGTGCCATATGTCGATTTTTTAAAATCAGGCAGTGAATTAGGCAGTGTTCTTGCAGGGTGCTGTGAAGGCTTGAATCCCACTGGTTTGTGCTCACATATGGTAGCATCAGCAGTCCTTTCAGAGCAGGGCTGCTGGCACCTCACTGTAGAAAAGACCTTAAATTTCTAACTTGAAAGTCCTCTTCTCTTGTCCAGGTGAAACATAGCTTGCAAGCATGGGAGAGAAGAGTACCTGCGTGAATGCTCCCTCCTCTGGCACATCCCTCTGTGCCCATATATGCATGTGTGTGCTCTGTATGTGTACCCCTTCCGCAGTTTGCTGGGCTTGCCAGAGTGTCAGGTTTGCTTGGGAAGAAGTTCAGGAGGAGAAGTAAATCTGAAACTTGCTCGGGATTGCTTAGTGCCATCAGTAAGTGGCTGTCGGTGGCAGGTGGGGATGTGCATCAGTGCCTTTAGCATTCACCCCCGGAATAAGGCCACCTCTGTTTGTGTCATGTCAGTCCAGAAGCTAAGACAGCAATTAGCAGAGACGAGCCTGGCCCCTTGGCAGGGTCTGTGTGCAGTGCCTTTTCAGGGCTTGGCTTCCAGCACCCACTGGCTGCATCCCAGCCCCACAGGGGGGCCAGGGGGTCAGTGCTCCAGGCTTCCTTCCAGTGAGGTGGGGGTGCATGGGTTGGAGGGAGATGCAAGGGATCCTGCACCACTACGTATTGCCTTTCTTCGGGATGTGGCCAGAGCGTGCGCCTCTGGCGGTGGCATGGCCAAGCACTGCCCTTCGGTGCTGGGGGCATGAGGCAATCACAGCTGGGAACCTCCTGCTTGCAGGTGTGCAAACTGAGAGTTGCTGTAAGTAGAGCTGTGTCTACTGAGAAGGGTTTACATTAGCATCTATAGTGATGGCCTTCCTATTGGCATTTCTTCTCTCCGAAACAATCCTATCTCTGGACACATGCTGACAGAGCAGCAAGCACTAATGCTGCTGTGCAAAAATAGACCAGGGCTGTGGGGTGGGGAGCCAGGGCCTTTTGCTGGCTTGGGCTAGTCCTGGCACAGGTGTAGGGACATTGCAGCCACAGATCATTGTTCTCATCCATGAATCTGTCCTGGTGTTTCCCAGTGGCAACCTGGTGCCTGTACCATGAAGTGAGTTAGGCTTGGGTTGCAGTTAAGCACAGTGTGGCTGAATTGTGTGCAAAGGGGACTGTTTGTCTGGGGTTTTGGACACGTAGAAAAAGCACCATGCTTGGAAGTGCTCACATGGGGAGAAGGACCTTGTACTCTTCTTTAGATTCTTCCAGTGCACCCACACCTGTGTGTTGGAAACCCTGCTGTGAAGGCAGGCTGGTGATGCAGAAGTGGACAAGAGCATCTATACTCCTCACAGATCCCTGGGACCTTGCAGTAGAGAAAAGGTCCCTGCTTTGTTCAGTCACTGTCCTCAACGGAAACCAAGTCATGTAGGTGAAACCTGACCCACTGAAGTTTTATTATGGAGTAATTAAATCAACAACATGGAGATACCTGGAGAACCTACTGGGGAAGAGACAGTGGTTTGGCATGGTGCAAGTCACAAAATCACAGAATCGTCAAGGTAGGAAAAGACCTTGAAGATCATCCAGTCCAACCATTAACCTCACACTGACAGTTTCCAACTACACAAGATCCCTCAGCACTATGTCAACCCGACTCTTAAACACCTCCAGGGATGGGGATTCCACCACCTCCCTGGGCAGCCCATTCCAACACCTAACAACCTGTTCTGGAAAGAAATGTTTCCTAATATCCAGTCTAAATCTTCCCTGGCACCACTTGAGGCCATTCCCTTTTTCCTATCGCTTTTTACTTGGTTAAAGAGACTCATCCCCAGCTCTCTGCAACCTCCTTTCAGGTAGCTGTAGAGGGCAATGACGTCTCCCCTCAGCCTCCTCTTCTCCAGACCAGTTCCCTCAGCTGCTTCTCGTATGACCTGTGCTCCAGACCCTGCACCAGCTTCATTGCCCTTCTCTGGACACACTCGAGTCATTCAATGTCCTTTTAGTAGTGAGGGGCCCAAAACTGAACACAGGAATCAAGGTGCAGCCTCACCAGCGCTGAGTACAGGGGTAAGATCCCTTCCCTGTCCCTGCTGGCCATGCTATTGCTGACACAAGTCAGGATGCCATTGGCCTTCTTGGCCACCTGGGCACCCTGCTGGCTCCTGTTCAGGCAACTGTCTATCAGCACCCCCAGGTCCCTCTCTGACTGGCAGCTCTCCAGCCACTCCTCCCCAAGCCTGTAGAGCTGCTGGGGGTTGCTGGGTCCCAAGTGCAGAAGTCTGTTGCTTTGATCCTGCAGCACAAGCAGTGTGCTGTATTTACCCTGTGGCTAGGTATACTAGATAGTCAGATAGCAGGTGTGAGCTTCGTCTCATCTTTATGAACCACAGACAGATAGATAGCCCCATTAGTGCAGTGCTGAGCTCTCATTAAATTATCCTCCCTTTCACCTTCAATTCAGCCTATCATTAACCCTGTGGCTTCCCCCTCAGAAATGGTTTGTGGCCATCCTCTAGGAGTGGAGATGGGGATCAGCTTGCAATGCAACGCCTAGAGATGCACCTCGAGCAGGGCAGTGTCTGAATGCAAGTTAGTGTCTGGTTTCAGAGCTGTCACCTCTGACATTTTTCACAGTAGGTGTTTGGATCTGGCCCCCGCATTGTTTGTTTTAAAGCATTTTTATACTCCAGGCCAGTTTTTTCTGTAAGGGTGCAGTGAATGCAGCTGTTACTGTTTATTTTTTTCAAAAGCTCCGTTCCTCCTTGGGGGTAGTATAAGGTGGCCAATTATCTGTCATTGTGTTATCCATGAGGTCTCTCTGAGGACAGCTGGTTCTTTGTTACCCTACAACAATGGGAGTCACTGGGTGCTTGGCACTTGGAAGATGGAACCATTTTTTTTCACTCCTGCTTTGTTTAGATCAGTTGGAAAAGCCCCATGGGGAGGGGTAGGTGAATTTGCTGCAACAGAAAATGTGAACTGCTCGGTATGCCTATATCACAGCAACCTGAGTTGTTACTTGAGTTGTTAGGGCTAGCAGAAAGTTGAGTTGCTCATTAATTGCTTTGTAATTTAGCTAATTGGTTTTGTCAAGGCTGTGGAATAAATGGGGAATAACTGATTATCTTTACAGTGTTTCACCTTTACAAGTGAAAATGACCTAAAAACTTTTTTTTTTTTTAAATAAAACCAAGGTGCAAGGCGCATGCTTGGATGGATGTCAAACATCTGAGTATCTGTTTTCGTCAGCCTTTGCGCCTGGCCTGTGGCCTCAGACTGTTTGTGGGCCACTGGAACCCTTTCTAAAGTGTAGCAGACATTTTGGCATTCCCTCCTTGGCAGTGCACACTCCCAAAGTAGGGCTACCCAAAAACTTCTGTGTGAAAGGACCAGCTCTGGATAACTGCAATGTGACAGTATGCAGAAGTGAGTTAAACTGAAGTGTCTTCCCTGCAGAGGAGACTGTAGTTAACTCTGTTAGAAGAGGGCTGGGAAGGAAAGCCAGACTTTTTGCTTATGCATGAAGCCGATAAACCCACTCTCTTTTTTTTTTTTTTTTCAGGTAGTGGCCATGGAAGTAGCACTTTGCTTCCCCATACCATCATCAATGAATTTCCAGAGTACGGCACTGTAGAGCCAAGCAGAGATGTGCCAAGGGCTTCATTGCCGTGTGCAGCAGAGCCTGTGACACGCAGTCCAGAAAGACGGGACAGTCACCACCAGGTATCTGGCAGGCCACCTCCTCAGCGTGCAACTCCTGCAGACAGTTTGAGACCTGACACTGGGGCAGCGCAGCTGCATGGCCCAGAACGTTTGCAACTTGTGAGTAACTTGCCAGAAATTACAAAAAGCTCTCCACGGTTGGAAGCAACAAAGGTGCAAGAGAGAACAAATACTTTTCTTGATTCAGAGACACAAATGGAAAAAAAGAGCGTTACTGGCAGCCAGAACATGAAGGCAGCCAGAGAACCAGTTCCAGCAGGCCGAGAAAAACCATCAGACGTGCCTCTTCCATCTGAAAGAACAGCTGAGGAAAAAATGCATTTGATCATAGAGAAAGATCTGGCTGCAGTATGGACTGGAGAAAAGCAGTCCGAGTCCTTGCAAGCCATCAGTAATAAAGCTGAGGAGGTCCACATAGCGCAGGAGACAAGCTGTCATAGACCATCTGTGACAAACCTGGAAGCAGCCAGCAGAGTGGAGGGGTGGGCGCATTTTGAGGAGTTTTCAGCATACAGTCAAGGCAAAATGCAAATAGGTCCTGAGAGGAGGCTCTCTAAAGAGGCAGCTGTGAGCAAACATGTAGAATTTCAAGGGGTGGAGATTTTATGGCTGCAAAAAGCCGAGGAGCAGAGAAGAAAGAAGCACTCGCTGCTGGAGACTGTGTCTGTGGAGAGGAAGGCGTTCCCCAAAACATCCAGCTACCCTACACCACTGATGGTCTCCCCAGGCTTAGTCTCCTCGCTGGACAGTGCTTGGAACGAGGCCTGTGATGACCCAAGGCTGGGACCCACTGCCTCTGGACCCACTCCTCTAGCGCTACTCAATGAAAGTGGGGAAGATGAAGTTTTTTTGAAGGACAAGAACAACCATGATGAGGAGAAGACAGCTGTACTAGCCAGAGGCCAGGGCAGGTGAGATGGTGCTTGGTGGGGTGCAGGGGGCAGGCACAGTTTCTCTCATCCCACGTACATGGCTTCTGCCTACCCCTTTAGGAGTTAATGGCAAACAGTGAATGTTTGCAGGCTGCATTCATGTGCAGGTGGCATGGTGGCAATGGTAGCAGTTTGTGCCTGGGAGTGGTGGCTAGTGCGTGTAGTTGGGGCTGAAACCTGTCCACACCCCACTTCTGAAGTTTGAAGTCTGTGTCAGATTTGGAAATAAGATGTCTCTTACTGTTTGCTGAGTAACAGCTATATGACGAAGCATCTGTAGCAGGTGTAGCTGGGATCCAGACGTGGCATGTTACTAAATATAAGCAGCATGCAGGCCTGGCCATATGTGCCTGTCCAGATTTTCTGGTTTCAGGCAGAGTCCGTGCAAGAACAGTGCGAACACCTCTGAGAAGTTGGATGATAAAGACGTTTCACCTGGGGCCTTGTGGGTTATAAGAGGGTGAATGCTGTAATGTGCTTTCTATACAATCTACCTATCTGTGTTTATATAATTCTAGCTATATATATTGTTAAAATTCTTTGCTGCTTTTAACAAGAGCATCCCGATTTGCTGACTTTTCTTTCCTGATGCATATCTGTGACAAAGCAAAGGGTCCCACTGGCACACTCTGAGCAAACCATGCCCACTCTTACCTGGTGGGGTGTTTGCTGCTGAAACAGCAGGATCTTTGCAAGGCTTCTGCCTCTGCACCTTGGGATCCATGGAATTTTGCTTTGGCTAGTGTATGGGATTGCTTGGATGGGCAGCTTTGACACCTGGCACATGCCATAAGAAGCTGTGCAGTATTTGGTGCAGCTGAGAAGACTTTCCTCAGGGGGATGCTACACCCTCCTCTGTGCATCTGCAAGCAGGCCAAGTTTTCCTCCTTCGAATCTCGTTCTTCTGGCTCCACATTTTCAATCGCATTTGTTTCCCTTTGCATTTTGGAGGATTTCCTGCAGCTTTTTGCTGAAGATCCCAGCCCTGGGACTGAAGAGCCAGCAAACTGTCCTCTGGAGGCAGAGGCTCCATATGGGTGCCTATCTCTGACCTGTGCAGCCTCTGGTATAGGAGTGATGCTAGCTGTGACCTTATGCATTTGTGAGTGCTCTTCTCCTTTGTACATAAGCTGCTGATGTTATCTGTTAGACAATATTAGGCTTTCCCCCCACCCCTCTCTTTACCTAGAAGATTCTTTTTATGTCAGCAGAGAGGGCAGTGGTGCCAGTCATGAACAGAGGTCTTGCAAGGAGAAACTAGCATATTACCCACAGTGTCCTCTCTTGCACCAAGCCACACTGACCCTTCGGCTTGCAAAGGTGGAAGGTGAGGAGGTTCACTCAAAGGTCTAAACCTTGTGCCATAGCTGAAATGAGTTGTTTCTGATTCATTTTCAGGATGATGGAGGAGGGGGAAGCAGCCACAGGAGGGTATGAAGATAACCTTGGGCAGAGGCACTCTGATGTCTCCACTGATCTGTACAGCTCACAGTTCGAAAACATCCTAGACAATGCATCTTTATACTACAGCGCAGAGTCGCTGGAGACATTGTACTCGGAGCCTGATAGCTACTTCAGCTTTGAGATGCCACTCACTCCCATGATCCAGCAGCGCATGAAGGAGGGCAGCCAGTTTTTAGATCGGACACCAGCCTTGGGGCAGCCTGATGTCCTGCAGCTTTCCCCTGATGGGGAGGTGAAGGCCTGCAGTGAAGGCATCGTCAATGGCTTAAGGGATGTAAGTGAAACATTCTTCAGAGGAGACGTAACGGAAGTCCCTTGTTTGGAAAGGTAAAAGCAGCGTGTGGGCTTTCTGTGTGCCTGCTGATTTTTCCCTGCTGTTTACTTCAGTGACTGTTGCAGAGTGTAGTTTTGCCTCTTTAAACACCTCATGTTTTCTACACAGAACAGTGTAACAGAGTGAGCTGAGGGGAGAGAACTGAATCATCCAAAACTGCTGTTCATTTGAAAAGTGCAAATTTACTTTCTGAAGGTTTTGTAGGTGATACAAGGCTGGCTACTATTGTTTCATCTCTGTGACCTGTCCCTTGAGGAGTTACAGGTGAACCTTGTTCAGCCTCAGTTATACCTGAATTTGTTGGCGGCAGTTTTAGGAACAGCAACACCTTGTGCACGTGTACGAGTTGCTCAAGTTCAGTTTGTGATTTGAATGTTAAAGGTGTGTCTCTGGGCATAGCTCTTCCTCTATTGAGGTCAGTGGGAGTTTTGCTGTTTACTTCAGTTGGGACAAAGTTTTGCTCCTACCGCATTCATGGGATTAGAGACTGTTAGCTGCTTCTTTCGTTTGTGCACTAGTTACTGATTGAGAGAGGAGGGAGCATTGCAAAAATGTTAATAATTTCTGTTTAGGTAAAGGGAGAGATAAGAAAACCTATTAAAAGAAGAGTCATGTGAGAAGCAAAAACTAGGCTAAGTGTTCAGAAAATACTGTTTAATTATAGAAACTTACTCTGTGAGCAAACTTTCCTCCTTGTGTGTTGTCAAAGAGGATGGGGAGAGTGAAAGGCAGCAACAGGCAAAGTGGCGGGTTGAGACAAAAGCAGTAATCTGCAGAGGGGTGAGGGACCTTACGAGTGACAAAGGTGCCTCGGGTCTCCATCCTCCAGAGACAGAACATTATCTAAGAGTCCTTAGACTACTCCCTTAGATGGGACTATTCTACTTTGAGCTTTCCTGTGAGTCAGTTGTGGGAGGGCTTCTACCTGTCCTATTTCTTTTGTGCTAGTGTGAAATAAGCTCTTTGAGAAGGAGTTTTGCTAACTTTATGGATTAAGGTACAGTTTGCCCTTAAAAGAACAGTCAGAAGGACTTAGCAGTTTAGAATGTTTTTTCCATCAGTCCTACTGTGAAAAAAGGTGTTTAAATCTTGTAGGGCCCAGAGCTGCTTGGTGCTAGTAGGCAGTAGGTGACTGCTAATCTGCTACAACCAGTAGGTAGCCAGAAACTGAGGTCAGTCCTGACACAGCTCCTTACTTGTGCTGAAACCAGAGATTGCTGTAAGACTGGGCATTCGAGGACAAGCAGTACATGCAGACCCTGATTCTGTTACCCCATAGGTGCAGCATCTGGAATCTAAAAAGTATTGTCAAGTAAGGTCCACCCTGGCTCATCAAGACAGAAGTTCATCACTAAGACTAGGTGTGTTTAGATAATGCTTAGAGACACTTTAGGTGCAAGCATAGTGTGGATTTCCTTAGGAGTTAATTTTAGTTTACATTTGTAGTCATAGTGATAAACCAACAGAGGATTTAAAAATTCTTCTTTTTCCCCCACAATAAAAAAAAAAAATAAATTGTCCCCAACAGTGGGTTTGTTAGGAAACTCTGATGTAGTCTGCAGGGCTCTTCAGGTACAAGCCCTATTTAGGAGCTCACTCTGTTAAGGTAGGTGCAAATAAAGAGTGTAGCTGCGGCAGTACAGCCAGCCATGAATGTACCCACCAGGGTAATCCTCTGGACAATAACTGTATTAAACAGCCCCCCATGATATTCTAGTATCATGCTGTATTGCACCAGGGTACAGGTGACTGACAGATTATATGGGCTATATTGTTGGAGCCAGTGATAAATCACGATGTTACCATTTGTGGGTAAGAGCACCGTGTCTGCAGAGGGGTCAGGACGGTGTGTCCCTGTGATGCTCGGGTGCACTACAAATAGTCGCCTGAGCCATGGGTACTATTTCTAAGAGTTTCCACGCGTGGTTGTGTTGCCTGAAGCAGTCCCAGATTTGTGTTTTCAACGCCCACGTGTATGGTAAGTGAGCTGTAGCCACTGTAGCAAGGCACCTTTGTGCCTTCTGCCGCATGTCCTTTTTGCAGCGTGTGCCGTGGTGCCGCACACCCGTGGCTGCGTGGGGCGGTGTTTTCCCGTGCGTGGCGCCAGCCTGGCGCTGCGGAGCGTCGAGGGCGCCCGCTCCCGGCGAGCGCGGGGGGAGCAGGCAC